TTCTCTCTCTCTCTCTTAGCTTTGTTATTATCATCAAAAATCCATTGAAAAACAGTCTCACAAGCATCCTGGAATTAGTAATTAGATGCCAATGTCTTTTGTTTTAGCTACTTGATTAAACATTTTCTCTCTTACTTTCCATATTTTAAATCGTGAAAATATTAAGTATAAAAGGATTTTACAAATCTTGACAAAATATAATATTAACAATCGCAGGGGTTGAGAAAACGGAATTAGTGTTTTAAATGGATGAAGAAGCATTGCCTAAAAAGGCGATTCTCCTTTCGTTCTTTTTTTTTATTTTCGGTCTGTAATAAAATTATTAAGTTAGATTACATCTTATTTAAAATGAAAATGTAAATTTGATTAGCATCAATATATGACACATTTTTTTCTAACACATGCATTTTCCGATAAGTTTTGGAGCGATAGTGAGATCTGGAACAATGTCTTTATAATCGAATTAGTTCACGAAATAAATATGTAAACTGTATTTTATTACTTTCAAAACGAAGGGATTAACACTTCCTCGTTTCATTCCTTTCTTCTCTTCCTTCTTATTAGTCAATTCACGGTTCAGTTGATTATAGCTTAACGCCGCGGAAAAACGGCAATTCTCGTTTCGTTTACCGCACTTCGCGATATGCTTCAGTTACCAGCAGCATCGTCATCGATTGTTTAGTGAAGCGCTAATAGCTGTCTCACGTTAAGAATAATAATGGGGGGGCCAGATGTATCGGGTATCAGTCGACAAATCCCGATACCCGAGGACCTCTTATTTCCAACCTTCTCGAGCGACAAAACGACACGTTAAAACAGATTCGTGCGGGCTATCGTGTAATATTATGATGATTTATGATGTGCTATAATTTTAATCTAATTTAATGTGTTAATCGCGCTTCTGGGACGCAGGTTTTATTTCAAGTCTTGTGGTGTCGTTTCTACTCAATGCCAAACATATTTAACTTTTTGGTAACATGCCGAGATATTATTCTGTCCTTGAAAATTTTGTCCATCAAATTATAAGAAACATTTTAATGAATTATTGATGTTTGAAAATACTTGATTGTAGATCTGAAATTATTGTAATGATATATATATATATGACTTTATTATTATGCAAGTACATTGTACGCAGAATGATGACCTTTTAAATAGCAATTTTGCGAACTATCTGTTTTCAATTTTTATCTTTGTTTGTTACCTCTTGCAATTTACAATGTTATCGTTACATACGAATGGTAAAAATAATACTATAAGTACAATAAAAACTGACATTAGCTTAATATAATTTTAAATTAACGAAATGTCAATGTGAATCAAATGTGAAAGTAAATGGAGTGTTCTGATAATCGTCCAACAACTTAAATGAATTTACTTGAAAAATTCTATGAATACATTAGGAAACGTGAGATTGACTCATAAGAGCGGTTTATTATCACCGTGTCATATTAAGAGAGTGAAATATCTCGAAATTATATAAACCTCTATTGGATAGCTCTAGCTCTCGCCTGTCACTCCCTTATGGCTCGTTTAGCGCATCTCTCTCTTGGAATCTACTGTCTACCGTTCGAAAAGAAAGAATATCGCGTCACGGTCGTTAATCCTACTGCTATTTCTCATACGTTTTCCGTTTATTACTACCGGTAGTTTCTGTCGTTCCAGAGGCTCAAATATTTTCTTAACACCTACACTAACATCTGCTTGATTCAGACAAACTAATAATCTCATTGAACTAAGTGCCAAGCAAAATAAAATAGTTGTTATGTTAATGCTTCATTAATTTTGTCGATGAATAATTCTGATAAGATAATGAATGAAGAGTGGAAATATATATTTATTTTTTTAATAAGCTTGTGTTTCTTATTTAGCAGGTTCTGTATATTATTATCTAATAAAATGTAGTATTATCTAGTAGAATGAGCATATGGTTAACGAGAAAATATATGCAATTAATTTAGGATTAGGATTAATTAAGATTAATTTGAAAAAAGTATTGATAAATTATCAAATTATTGATAATATCTGCAATTATATATTTTTAATGTCTAAATATAACTTATATAAATATATTTTTAATTATTTTATGGTATTTATTTATATAAGTTTTATTTTTATCGTTTCTTCTATTTTTTCTTCTTCTATTAATTAAAATGTTTCCATTTATAGAAAATGAGAAAAATCGTGTTTATTTAACATGTATATTGTTATAATTATATAACTTTGTTTTAATTATGAACAATGTTTTAATTATACAACTTTTTTATTCATCTTTAATAATAATTTTTCTTATTTTTCTATCATTTATTATTAATCTAAAATTTATATCCGATATTTTTAATTGTATTTTCAATGCTTCTCTATTTTAATAATTTAGAAATTTCTTTAATCGACAGAAGAGATCGAGAGTTACATGTTTGTATCGATAGAAAAGATTCCTGTATCAAGTTTCAGAAATGGTACATATAATGCTCTCTGATGGTAACGGCAAGAAACCCATGCTCTTTATTTATAATTTGAAGTGATGTATTTTTTAAATTCTGAATATCTTAAAATGTACATTCAATTTAACAAAGTTACAAGTTTCTTTATATTTATTTTTGAAGTTCTCTTCATGTCAAAATAATATTATATTAAAATATAATATTTAGTATGTATATATATACAGTTTATTTTATGCATTGATTTTATTATACAATAATTTCCAATTATTTTAATTATAATTTGTATAATAAAATTTTTTATCATGTACAATTACATCACATCGATGATCAAGTCACAACAATTTTTGGTAATTTTCGATAAATTTGATGTATAAACCTATTAACAGAAAAATTTTTTTAATGATGCATGGTATACAAATTATGTACTGATATTTAATATTCTCCATTAATATATTTTTTGTACTCGTAAAACATTGCTTTATACATAATAAAGTTATATAATTTAATAGAATTTTTTTTATTATGATGAGGACATATTATTAATGAAAAAGAGATGAGAGTGAATCGGATCATTTATTAATCTAATTTGATCGACATTAACAGTTTAATAGTTGAATTCTCAATAATCTCAATTATCATATCGACATATGTTTAATAATACATTTTATGGTATTTTAACGAACAATATTTTATAACAAAAATACAATTGCTTTGTTTATAACAAATTATCCATTGGTCCCACAACGATTGAAATCGTTGCTTTAGAGATTAATGTTATTCAACTTTTTTGTGTAAAATTACTAAAATTGCAGCTTAATAAAATGTTTAAGCTATAATAAAATTATTGCTTAATAGTTGTTTGGCATGACAAATTTTATTACAATTGTTATATTATAATTAAATAACGATAAATTTTGGACATTTGTATTTTCGTTATCGTTATTGTTTACTTTTATATTTTTATCTGTGAACATCATAGTAATGGCATAGTAATCATTTTAATAATTATTCAAATTCACATTTTTTCCTATCTTGTTCTTAGATGTTCGAATGTCATTTTTGACAGATTATGTCTTGTTGATTAATTCTATTACTATTATTGTCTTTGTTGCAGCACAATATTACAGCATCAATGCGCATATTATATATATATATTATAATTCAATTACTTCGTCATTTGAAAGACGTTACAATATTACACGTATTTATTTTTGAACTTATTCCAACGACATATAATATAATAAGAATATTTGTAATGAAAGTAGAGATTTAAAGTAAAGAGTTTGGAAAAACGAAAAATATGTAAAAAAAAGATAAAGATATGTTACGTACGTCAATTTTACAGCTTTTTTAAACATGTTTATAATCATTTATATTTATAACATTTATATACATAACATGCGTTTATGATACCCTACAATTCCTACATACAATTTCAACGTGCACGAAGATTACATTGTAATGAAGGATTATGAAATTAGATTTACTTCTTCGTAGACGTTTGAAAATGAATCTAAACATTTCGGTGGGAAATCCACTTTCGCAAAATGCCTTGTCATGAAAATTAAATAATTAGTCGTATCTCACTCTTCACATATTAATTAACGAGTTAAAATTATTGTACAGACAGATAATTTTATGCATATAATTTTTTATGCTTGTAAAATAATAAATAATCATCGTGCTTACATACAGAGATATGTGATTTGAAGAATATTTTATGCATTTTTAATATTATGCCAAACCATTTATATCAATGCGCAACTTTGTAATAACAATTTGCGCGGCTTTCACTACATAATGTACTTACAAGGATGTTGCTTAAGGAATTTACCTACAGTAACATTGATAGTGCCAAGAAAAGTGGCACAAGGAGACGCATAATATTGCATTACATCTATTATGTTATTAACACGAATCCCAGCAGGCTGCACAACCTAACCAATTCCTAAAGTAACAGTTATTTAAAAACATGCTTCTGCGTATAGAACTTTTTACGTAAATAAAATTGTTTTACATGATAATACAATCAAATAAATTTATATTTATACACAGATCGCTTTATAAAATTTGCAATGTATTTTGAGATTTTGCACTACGTTTGACACCTGTTTACCAAAATTTTGTATTCAGTGCTTTATCTTATTATATAATAAATTATCTTTTTATAATTCGATGAATAAATGTAATATATCTAAATCACTTAATAATATGTACATAAATAACAGTGTAACAAGGCGACATTTTCATTTTAAAGCGTTGAACGCTTAGTGGAATGCAATTTTAATGAAGTATATGATTCCACGATTATATGTATATCTGTAACATGTAAACTATTTACATTCGTTGCTTAATGAAATATAAACATGAATACACACACACACATATACACATATACATATATAGAAATAAAAAAATAAAATAAAATTTGTAAAGAATATTTTTTGTTGAGAGATTACAATTATTAAGATTAACAATTTTTTTTATTTTATAAAATTATTAACTTATATAAGGATATGATATAATACTTTATTTAAATAATGAATTGTATTGCTGAATCAAAATTTCGAAATACATACCTATATTTGATATTTACGTGTACTTTGTTACACAAAATTCCATTTGAACGTAGATTCCGATCTCTATAACTGTGGTTCGTATTGAGATTCTATAGGGTTGAGAACCTTCAAAAGTTTATCAGATCGCACGTCGAATCCAAATTTTGCCACATTTAAATTCTTTGATTCTGTAGTTGATTTTAGTAAAATTTTACTAGTGACTATTATTCGTTTGTCAATTTTTAATGAATATCTGATTAATTAGGCCACAATAGCTACAATAGCTACTAAAGAACTTAGAATACATTAGCCAGCAAATAAATTCTGCATTCTTGAAATATTATGTAAATACTCGTAATATAAACACTTTTGCAAAAATCATAATTTACAAATAATAATAAATATTTATTTTTACTAATATAGATTAACTTTGAGATTAACTTATGCATAGCATAACTGCCTGATCGCTCAATCATTCGCTGTTTTATTACCTATTTAGTCCTTAAGAGCCGCTGGGTTTAGGAAATACTTGTAATTAGGATTGGTTGCATGTCGCAGGCGCCAGCGATCTGCAACCGCGAGCTATCTGAGCGCGCCATCACTTTGAAAGCGATTGTTCTTCGAGGATTTCGTTAGCTCTCAGCTTGATCTCTTTCCAGGAATACTGTATATCTTTGCTCTCGCTAAATCGAGAACAGACGGCGAGTCGCAGGAAGTACGTGTCCTTTATTTTTGACGGGACAAGATGGATATTTCCTGCACCATTGATTCTCTTTAATAGAGTTTCATTGAGTTCGTTGGATCCCTGTAAGTCGTTATAGAATTAGTTCTTTTATTTTCGTACTTTTTTTTATTGATGCAGATGATATTTTTCAGTCATTAATCGATTATGCTCACTTCTACTAACAGATTAATTTTAATCTTTTTCTAGTTCTAAAAATTATAAAAAGATAAAAGAAGGCAATGAGTAACTTAAACTAAGATTAAAGTTAATCTACATTAGTGAAAATAAATATTTATCATTATTTTTTAATATAAGTAAAAAAAAGTACTTGGAGAGTCTAAATCTTTTGTACATATACTTTGAAAAATAATCGACTTACTTTCAATCGGAAACAAACCAATCCCATCAGAACTTCGCCCACGATTTCGAAGCGAGAATCGGAGAGAACTAATGCTTCGAATTCGTGTGCTTGAGCGACGTGCGACCTGATAAATTTTTGAAGGTTCTCAACTCCGTAGAGTCTCAATACGAACCACAGTTTTAGAGATCGGAATCTGCGTCCAAGTGGAATCTGCCAATGCTGTAACAAAGTACATTCATATTGATTAACGTTATCGTTTATAAATTATTTTTTAAATTGATTTTATTAATTACATAATGTAAATTCAATTATACTAACTTAATGGACTTTTAATATTATATAATTACCCTATAATCCGGTGCCGAACCTTGCATATCGTGCTTCAGGTACAAAGGATCAACGTTGAAAGCGTTTATGACGTATGTTGGATCCTTAAGCCACATGGCAGAGCAATCGAAATTAACTAACATCCATTTATGTGGGTTGAAATTGAATGAATCTGCCAATTCGATACCTTTCATTAAATATCTAAATTCCGGACAAATAAAAGAAGATCCTGTAAACAAATGGATTTGTTTTAGCTCTGTTTTATGAATTACTGCTCTGTTTGAAGAATCATTATTTTTGTAAAATGAGAGAATTAATTTATACCTGCATAAGCGGCGTCCACATGCAACCAAATGTCTTCACGATTTGCTACAATGCCCATTTCATCGAGACGATCAAAGGCGCAATTAACAGTGGTACCCAAAGTAGCGACAGCCTATCAAAGAAGATCAATTTAGAATCTTTAAGTACTAATTTCTTAATAATTTATTTATTTATTTTAATCAATTTTAATTTCTTTTTCGTTATGTTATACTTTACGTTAATTATTTATAATTATTAAATACACTGACAATATATTTTTGTAATATTATAACAAATATACATATTATATTATATTATACACTGAATTTTATCTGCGATTTTATTTCCTTTAATGAAATAAAAGATGAAGTAATGGAATATTCGATCGAGAGGAACATTGAATAAATTGAGCTTACATAAAATGGTATGAATCCCTGCTCTCTATCCTTTCTGATTGCTTCGGCAAATGTGTCGCCGCGCAACTTATATTTTTCATCAACTTCCAATTGTCTGAACTTTACTCCACCGAGAAGTCCAGCGCGTTCAACCGAACTATGTGCTTGACCTAGAAAAAATACAATATTTTATCACGTATTTTGCGATTTACTTATTATAATTATTTGATTTTTTTAAAATTTGCAATATTGTTTTGACGTAACATATTCTTCTACATTATTACGTTATTATTTGTAATTTATATAATACCCCGATATTAAAGATTTATTTAAAATTATAATAACTTATACTTATAAAACTATGATTATTTGAATTAAGAATCTTATAGTGTTTATACATATGAGTATACAATCAGTAGGAGATAAATGCCCTTTAACAATCTAGTTGGATCTTAAGTAATTGTATAATTCTATGTGAATTTAAATCTTACATCTACTTTTTTTAAATTGCGCGTCGAAATGATTTTTTGGTCTTGAAACGCAAATTTCATTGAACTACTGCAGTAATATCACAAGCTAGCAATTTAACAATTCGATGCTTATAAGCATCTTAAAATGATCTTAATAATGCTGAATGACAAATCTATGAAAAAATTTATTGCGAAAAATATTATCTTGGCTGGGGATTTCTTGCATTATACGCGCGAGCAGCGTTCTAAGCTTTTAGACCACTGAGATCCTAGTAATATTCTTCGCAATAACTAGCATATGTAGGAATAACATCTTATTTCAGGCAACATAAACAAACGATATTAAACTAAGACTCGCATAGGATCATGTGAACACACAATCGATAGGAAATAAATGCCTTCTGTGTATTTACATGTATGTATAGTATACCGTCCTATGAGATTTTTAGTTTAATATTGTTTATTTATGTCGCCTGAAATAAAACGTTGTTCCTACATATGCCAGTTATTGCGAAGAATATTACTAAGGCCTCGGTGATCTAAAGGCTTAGGACGGAATATAAGAAATCCTAGTTCAATCCCAAGATAATATTTTTGGAAATAAAATTATTTACAGATTATAACATACATTCTTCTATATTATTATCTATAATTTATATAATGCCTTGAATTTTTATTTAAAATTATAACAACTTGCAAAACTGTAAGATACGAAAACTGCTACATAAATGGATATATTCTATTAATTTTGATAAACATTTTGTTTAATATATCGTTTTTCAACATTTTATTCGTAATCTCTTTTATGGATATCGACAAAATGATCGACCTCATCTTCAGTCACGGTAATTGCCCCAAAAAGAGTAAAAAAGTTCTCCATTCTTTTACAGAACAATAGCGGTGCTCGTTGATGAGATTATTCCGCTCGATATTTCTAATCGGAAAAAAATTGTGGCCGCATTATTCGTCGTATCGGAGAATTCTAGAAAATTTTTCTTTTTTTTTTCCCATTTTGAATAAAGTACGACGAAATTATTATGGGCGTTGAGAATAGCAGAGAAAGTTTGGGTCTGAAATATAACTGGAGCGGTTATTACGAGTTGCCATGGCAACAAAGTGCTGCTTGATGAAGTGCTGTGAACCCCATACTCACCCTATCACTCCATTCCTCTCAACCCCTCTATTCACATGCCTTTGCAGTGATTGCCTGGTCACTGAAAGCGACCGGACACTTTTCAGCATTATATCTATTCGCCCCGAGATAATGCAATAAATACGAATAAAAAATTGCCCTCTCCGATCAGTGATACATTGTCGTAATTCTAGCGCTTTTGCGATTGTATAATATTGAAAAAATTTATATTGAAATGGAGACACAATTAAAATAAAAAAATAATATTTTGTAAATCTTCAAAATATATTTACGATGATCGTTTAAACTGATCTATAATAAGTATATTATTTATGTATGAGATATTAATAATTTATTATTAGTTTTTTAACATACGTATTATTATGACAAACAAAAAATATTATATGAGATAGATAACAGCATTATTTGAAAAAAAAATTTTAATTATTACAATATATTGAAACGGCAACGTTTAATATAAAATTCAATATTTTATTAGAGAATGTAATAAATACGTATTATACATTAATTATTATAATGACTTTTTTTAATTTACAAAACACTATCTTTTTATATTTTTTTCTATATATAAAGCTCAACAGCGACTGTCATGGTTCATGTATTTAATACTCGTCGAGATATATGTCATAGTTCAAGCGTTTATTTAAAGTCATTGAACTATATGTCATACTTGACGCTTATTGTGCTGCTTATTTGCTCGATAAAGTTAAACAAGAATTGATCGATGAACAATTTATGCTACTCTGAATATAACGTATAAATTTGTTTTTGACTGGAAATTCGAATAAATAATTGTATCTTTGTTTTGATCGCTTATAAATTTATACCAATGACAATTTCTGTAGCAATATTGCAATATACTTACAAGAACAGTATGCGATTAATTTGCTAATGATCTCGTTTTCCGTCCAATCAGGATGCTGCTCTTTAACTTGCCGTATTTTCTTGGCTTTTGCTCCTAGTAACGCTACCAAAGTGGCTTCGCTAGCAGTGCCCTATAGATGAAAATTACATTGTAGATAGCTTTCTCGTCTTCAGGAATGTCAGTTAGGAATGACTATCCTTTAGATATCTTTTATAAATGTAACGCTATTTCTAAAATGTCATTTACCTGGATGACGCCACCGCCTTTCCCACCGCTACAGGCAAGAAATTCTTTCGGCAAGTTTAGCATTTTTCCTAGCCAATCCAATACGATTACTTCTAATTCTGTACAAGCCGGACTCGCGATCTAGAATTCGGAATATTTTAAATAAAAAATAACTGAAAGAATAATGTATCTTCGATTGTCTAATTTTTGCGTTCGTATGTTTCTTTGCTTTACATTTTTTTCAATTTTTCACAAAAATAATAACATATTATATTTCAAAAGAAAATTTTATTTTTATTAATCAATATTACTTTCACTTTTTTCTATCTATTACAAGAAATAAATTTATTTTTAAAAGGGATATACAATAAATAAGAATTTTATTGTATGCAACGAACGTTAAATGTGCGTGACACAATGTTAAAGCATGAGCACGTGAAGCTTACAACAATTATTCGAGATGAATGAGGCAAACTGCATGTTTTTATACTTACCCATGTGAATCCAATGCATGCAATAGCTCCGCTTAACATATCGGCCAGAATCGAGGGATACGATTGCGCAGTAGGAAAGTATGCGTGGAATTTTGGACTGTGCCAATGAGTAACCTAAATAAATTTTATCTTAATTTAATTCTAAACTACTTGTGCAAAAAATCGATGGTATCGATAATGAAATATTCTACTTTCAAAATTTTAGTATCGTTACATTTCGTTTTGCGGTATGTATACGAGTCAGTCGTTATTGTAATTGTCTTAATGTATCGATGATTTATCATAGTGACATTTAAAAATCACTTACTCCTGGCATTATTATTCTTTCAATATCGGCCATTATATCCTGCCATTGTTCAGGAGTCTGTGGTGCTTCGGATGGCAAGAGGGGTTTCATGTATCCCGGTTCCACTGTAGGCAATACCTTCCTGGAAATTGATGAATTTTCCATGTGTGAGATTTACATATTTATATAAAAAATATAAAATAATATATAGAAAGAACGACTTTGCTGAAATAGATAGATACCTAAATAGATTAGCTAAATAGATTTAAAAATAATTTTGTTGGACCGTCAAATAATTACATAGAAATCTTAAGCATGCTGATCGAGTAATGCTGCAAAAAGTTGGATTATTCTAGCAGTTTGAGCGTGCTACATAATTATTTTGATGATTTGACAAAATTATTTTCAGGTCTGTATCTAACAATATTTTTAGGTACTTCAGCAAAATCGTTTTTTTTTATATATAAGTCATTATTTAATCCAGGTTTATCATCAAGCGATTTCTTAATTACAGCGTGTTGTCACTTACCTGTCTCTAATATTTTCCAAATAATTTGTGATGTATTCCGCCATCTCCTTGGCGTAATCCTTGAAGCTATCGGGATCCATAATTTGTCTTCTTCTGTCTGTAATATTAAGATGAGATGTAATATTAATAATGGAAATGTAACAATATTTATTGTTGTTATGCATTAACGAGTGGAGTAGGTGTGGTTCTGTAGTATCCTTGGTATATCAAATGCACGAGTGCTTTGAATCAATGTATGAATATTTTTTTTTTTTTTTTTTTAAGATTGAACGTTTATCGGAACGCCTAGAAAATTATAGCGATTGTTTCCGCATGTTATGTGACAAGAACAGATGCAAATGACTATAAGTATCTTGCTATATCAAGATGACCGTGACAATTTATAGAAAGCACGTGGAGTAATTGTTTTGCTTCAAGGTTGTTTGCTTTAAGAAAAACAACAATTTCAGATAAAAAGAGAAACTATGACGAGGAGTTAAAGCGCGAAAATTGCATTAGGATGATACTATCAAGAAGTTGCATAAGCACATATGCGCTGTACATAATACTATTTTAACAAGTGGAACGAGGTCAAAATTATCTTAATAATTTATTACTTTATAATAATTTATATCTGTCGAATGTGAGATAAAAAATATGAATGTTCTTAATATAAAGATAACAATATTTTTTTCATACTTTCTCGTTAAATACAGAATGTTACTTTGTATGTGATTAGCAATTCTATTAATAATCTTAATTACACTGGTCGACTGGTTACTATAAAAAACTTTATTGTCTTTATAAATTTGGCAAATAGATAAAATTGAAATTAACAATAATAGTACTATAAGAATCATCCTGATAGATCAATTTAACTCACTAGGAGAATCAATAGCTTCTTTTTTCGTTGCTTTATACATAACGTCATAACCGTAAATGTTCGATAAAGAAGTTGATAACTTAAATTTATCGTAGAACTTTTAAAAAAGATATACCATTACTAATTGCGTCAAAATACATTATACTTGTTTTCCAAGAAAAATTGTAGCAAAAATGGATATACATAATAATAATGGATATACATGGACACATAAATACGTTTGGCCTTTTAAGCGAAATGTCTAATAAGTTGCGTATCTATAACTGGTAATTTAAAGCTAATGACGTAGGTCTTGAGAAACTCTGTAGCCGGTAGGGAGATGCATATGTGTCTATGTTACCAGTTAGAGTGTCCGCGAAATCGAGAGTGGAAGGAGAAGGACAGCGAGATCGCAAGAACGGTTGTGACGATCAGTAAAATCGCCTTCGCGTAGAGAAGTAAGAGTGAACTCGCCATAATGACCATGACTCATTTTCATGGAGCTGGTTTTATTCGAACCGCTGTTGTGGCAAACACCGCCTGTCTATCGCGTCAAAGCGCGATTTTGTCTGTTACCCACTCATTGTTACGTTATACTCGCGGAATATTGCAACGCATAAGATGAAAATTAAATTTTAATAATCAATTCTTAAGCGATGTCATTGCAGATTTGCATCAATAAGAAGATCCGCAAACTTACCGCACAAAATAATATTATTTTTGTTTCAAAATGTTGAATCGTTTTTTTATATTCCTGCTAAGTATTTTAGTAATGAAATGAAAAGTAGGAGTCAGTGTATTACTATTCTTTCATTAAATTATTTGTTAAAAAATATCATTACTGTGTGTGTGTGTGTGTGTGTGTGTGTGTGTGTGTGTGTGTGTGCGCGTGCGTGCGTGCGTGCGTGCGTGCGTGCGTGTG